GGGCAGCCAATCCAGAGAGACGAGGTGGCTACGGAGATATGTGGAAAAGGCTGGGACTGCTCTACGACCATTCACTTTTTAGGGCCTGGATACAAGTGCGAGCAGCTTGCCAAAGGTGCGAACTCGACAATGAGCAGCTTCAATGATTACGAAACGCCCTTCAATTTGACCGAGATGATACCTGCTGGAAACGCTAGTTTTTATAGCGTTGCAAACTGGGGAGAATACAAAACGAACCAGATTACAGTGGACGAGAACAACAAACCGGTACAGAAGCCTCCGTTTCCGAAAAACCTGGGTGCTTTCAGAACAGAACCAGCTCTTTGGATGGGCTACGTCGAGGTGGATGATATAGATGCCCAGCATGCAAAGAACCGTAGCATGAAGGGCTGGGATCAAGATTATACGCCTGTTATTACTGTTTGTGAGCATTGGGAAACCAACTATACCGTCAATCTGAATTATACAGGTGGTCGCCAATCATACGAAGTCACTTATCGAGACTATATACAAAGAGTTATCAACACAACATACGTTAATGAGTCTGCCAGCGATGGAACTCTCGACCCAATACTTGCCGAACCTGTAGAGAACTATGTTTTCCCGAAGGACTGGCAATATTACCGCAAAATAGCAGCGTATCACTCCCTAGGCAAGAAGCTCCGCGATCTTCTCCAGGGATCGATTCAACTACCGGGACCTATCGCGCATTCAGCAATCACAACTTCCAAACTAGTGGCCCGTCCTGAATCTTTACCAGTCCCCGACTTTGAGGGCGCAGTGCAAAAACTCTACGAGGATATGCTTATATCTCTTCTCTCGGACCCGTTACTTCTTGCTGTGGCATGGGCCTCCCACCCAAACGAGCTCTCAGGCAGGGGCCCTGGTGGGCCCAATACCAAATACCCATGTATTCGCATGCGCACAGGCAGTTACTTCTTCTACAATTGGAAGGTCCTTGTAGCGGTATATGCGGCGTCGTTTATTGTTGGAGTTGTGGGTGTGGCATATGGGCTTCTAGTTATGTGGCAGGATGGAGTGAAAGAGGTTCGCCAGATGACCTTCTCGGCAATTGCTAAAACGACGAAGGGGATAGATCTAGACCAGAACGGGGATGGAAGAAGCAGAATCCGTGCAGTAGAAGAGCGACCGGGGAGTGGTATTTTTGAGTTTAGAGTTGAGGATTACAATCGGTGGGATGGTCACAAGACGGCAGGCGTTAAGCAGAGGCTTAGCCCTTGAAAAGGGAATTTATAATTGTATAAATGCTATTGAATTTCCAAGAAAAGGCCTTGAATAACTCTAGTTATTACTGTAATCGCCTTTGTCTAGTTCTGAGGTTAAAGGGGCTCACAATGTGTTTTTTAGACATGTAATTTACGTGGCCCTTGACGACTCATCTGAACGTCCACTGAAATCCGAACCCACTACCCATGACCTATAACCTATAACCTATGAGTGAATCCTATATTATTCCTATCGAGAGGCTCTTTGTGCATCACGACAAGTCAGCTGAGTTTTGGCTCCCCTGAACTAGGAGGCTCATGATGGAAAAGGTGGACTGATTCAAGACTTAACCTCAACGCTCTCTACTTCCAAGTCAAATCTCTTGTAGCCAGTACGCATTACAGATTCGCTTTTTCGCATATTATTGTTCAACGTTTGTTCAAGTACCTTCTCTATTGTATTCTCACTCTCTACTTTTAGATGACAATTGGCAATTCTCCTGATGGCAAGATCATGGTCTACTGTGACTAGCTATCTTTAGTCGATAAGCCCAGCAATGACATCCCATGGTTCTTCCTTACTAGGAAGATAATTGACTTCAAAAAGACAGACTTGGACCTCGGGTCCTATTTTCAGACCACCCGGGACCGGATCATTTTTCGCGTGGTTAAAAGTTAGTGCTATTATGACTTGGTCTGAAGAAGTTTGGACTCTCTGAGTGAACTCCATGGTCGCATCCCTGCTGAATGTCCAGGGAGCTCCCCTTTTTTCAGTAAGTTCTTTTCTGTTTTGCTAATTTACTATAACAATAACTAGTAGGGCGTTAAGAGTGGAAAGTACAAAACCAAGTAGAAGTAAAGCAAGAACATGCTGGCATTATTTTATTTAGGGTGGACTACCTACCCTAATTAATATTGCCTTAGCTCATTAATAATAATTATAGCCGCCGCCAGTAGTACAGAAGTAAGTGACCATGCAGATCTTAAACAGTCCTTAGCGCTTACACGACTCTCCCTTCTCAGCTAAGCGTCCGAATCAGATCCACTCTTAGCTTAGTCGACACAGCAAGGGTTCATTTTGTCTTCCTGTTCGCTATATGACGAGTTCTTCAAGTTGAAGCTGACATTTTGTTGTGGAAGACTAAGGAACGCTACTCATATGTAGGCATGGAGGTCCTAATTATAAGAGGATGTTGGATAAATGCGTTACCAGGCCGCCGTGAGAATGACGGATCGGCTGTCTCGACCCACCACCCGACCGCTGACGTTCCCTTGGGGGCGGAGACAAGTTAGAGTGGATAAGGGGAAACGTGGCAAATTAACCTCGGCGCTTCTGCCAGCGTTGTTTTAAAGAGTGGGCCATTATAAAGGCATTGTGCCCTGCTAGGATAGAGAAGGATTTTATCTGTGTTATTTGCTAGTGCCAAATATGCAATTTATTGCCGTAGAGTTTTCCCTGCTGTATTTTCTATGGATATTCTCTTTAGCCTTGGCCTTATTCTCTTATGGCTTTGAACTATAAGCTTATAGATTACCTATCCAAACCCTAAACTATATTTAACTAATCCTAGCTTATCCTTTCTTATCTTATTATACTTAACCCCTATTAGTAAAGATAATAATTATAATTTTAATTCTAAGACTAATATAATATATCTTATATCTACTTTTAATAACTATTACTTTGAAAGAGGATTTTATAGAAAGATTATAATATACTATGCCAAGGTATTAATACCTAATAGGCAGCTTATTAATACCTTAGGATTATATAATATAGGTTCCTTAAGTAATATTATATATAAAGGGGGCGAGTTTAGAGACTGCTGCTATGAAAAGGGGTATTATAGTAAGAATTCGATGTATTATAGTAATAGGTATATGTGATCGGGTATTTCTTTGAAATAAATCCAAGTAGAGCTAGATTGCCTTAATTAGCTCTCCTAAACTCTTTTAAATGTCGCCGACATTTGGATTTAAACAGGTGCCAAAGTGAGTTTGGTACTTGTTCATCCGTTGACGAGTCCTCTACGACCACCACAGCAATGCATAAGACTTTAACCTCGATAACAGCCTCATTAACACACCTCGATGTTGCTTCTGTTAATAGTACTTCAACCTCGATAGCAGTCATATCAACGGACCCCGGTGCTATTTCGACAAGCTCGTTAATAAGCTCCCTTAGCGTAGATGCTGAAGCTGGGATCGCAGTCGGATCTGTTATTGGCGGCATCGGGGCAATAGGCCTTCTCCCTTGGCTTATAATACGGAGGAAGAATAAAATATCTTTGCTACTAATGACAGATGGCGGTGAGGTGAAACACAATAATGAGCCGAGGTATGAGTTGCATGGGGAGACCAGTGCTAAATTGCCTGCTGGTTATAAAAATTACAAGAGATAAAGAGATTAAATAATTAGGCTATGGACTTTACGTCTCTGATAGCCTAGTCCACAAGCTCATTTATTACAGCGAGGTAGCTCACTTTATTTTCACTTGAGATCATTTTAATAGCTTCAGCTTCAACCTTTCTGTATTTCTATGTACTCTGGTCTCTCAGGGACGAGTTCAAACTTATCATGCATCCTGAAAGTATTCTTAAATATAAGTCAATAGGTAGTAGTAGGTCTATAATTGCCCAGAGTCTTAAAGAAGACAGAGCTAAGACTAATCCAGCTTCTCGAAGTATAGACAAGTTAGTACTCCCTGAATTTTCCAGCCTTGTACTCGGCAGAGTTTGGGTCTGCATCACGACTAAGTGTCAAGAGATAGTGCATGCGAGGTCTAAAGTTCTCGAAGCCTGATATATTCTTTCCGCGATTCATCGATGATACTGTTAAAGCCATCTCCTGTGTCAAGTTATAATTAAACAAAGGAGGAAAGAAAGTTTACATAAAGTAAGTCCATTCTATCTTATGCCATGATTGCCGCTAAAAGAGGTAGTATATACAACACAGCTTTGTCAATCATATGATTATGCCCCCCTTCGTTTGGCGTAATCTCAATAGGTCCGGACGTAGTTGGTATGCCAGGGCCAGTAACAGTTTCAGTCTCCAAATTCGACACAGAAATAAAGCCCCCAGATTCTCTACCTCCACCAGTTTTACTACCCCCACTGGAGCGTGCAGTTTGTTGAGCAGCCTCTGTCTGGGTTACCTCCGCTGGGATGGTTGGTTCCTCCTCTGAGACGGTTGGTCTCTCTACTGGGATAGTTGATTTCTCTGATGGAATAGTTAGTTTCCCTACTGGGGCGGTTTGTTTCTCCGCTGGGGCGGTTTGCTTCTCCGCCGGTGCGGTTTGTTTCTCTGCTGGGGCGGTTTGCTTTTCCGCTGGTGCGGTTTGCTTCTGCGATGGGGCGGTTTGCTTCTCTGCCGGTGCGGTTTGTTTCTCTTCTGGGGCGGTTTGCTTCTCCGCCGGTGCGGTTTG